CGGGCCGCCCCCCCTCCCTTTCCTGTTGGCTGCCCAGGAGGAAAAGAGAACTGAGAGTCCTGGCAGCCAGAGGCCTCCTCTGACCACTAGGCAGGCCTGCCTGTTCACTGGCATCAATTGGGGAGCTAAGCTGGGGGGCAGTGACCCCAGCCCCACAAATCTGGGTGTGGGGGGGATCTCTGCCCTCTCCCCTGCCAGGCTCGCACAGCTGCGTGGAAAGCCTTGCGGTTCCCCCCGCATCTGTGCTTCGTGGTTTCCAGATGGTGCTGGGGCCCAATCCTACCCCAGGGACTGGGAGGAAGTCTGCAGGGCTCCTAGGTAGAGCCAGGGCCACTCCATGCCAACACAGACCACCCGAGCGAGCGGGGCGGTCTTGTTTGTAGGGGGGGGGGGGGGGGGGGGGGGGGGTCAGGTTGGTGCCTGTGAGACCCCACCAGGCACTCATGCCTTCCTGTCCCACCTCTGCCAGCCCCCAGAGAGGCCTGGGAAGCCAGAGGCCCATCACTGCAGCCTGGACAGCTTGCAGAGGGGCAGCTCTGGAGGCTGCTGGGTCCCTAACATTCCCCCCAATTCCAGACTTGCCCCATGCCAGCAGCTCCCTGGCACCCAGCTCAGCCCAGGCACAGCTGCACCCAGGGCTCTGTGGCCAGGTGCGGGGGGGCTGCTGCCGCTCATGCAGCAGGTGGGCTGTGGAGGCCCGGCTCCCCCTTCCCCAAGTGTTCACACCTCAGGATGTCCCAACCGCAGCGCTGTCAACACCAAACCCGCTGCTCACCGCAGCGCTGGTGCTGCCCACCAGAGACTCAGCTTCTACCCTGGGCACAGCAGGGCTGCGTTCAGCCCAGCCCCCAGGGAAAGCGGGGTCCCCCTCACCCCCCAAGCGACGGCAGTACCTGCAGGAGCTGTGGGGCAGCGAGGACACGGACGTACAGTGCCTAGCACCCCAGGGCTGGTGGGCGTTGCTGCTCCAGCCACAGCCACGTGGGTGCAGCACTGATCAGGACACCTGGGTTCTGGGCACGAGCCTCTCTGCCTCGGTTTCCCCTCCTGCCCTTTGCTGAGACAAGTGGTGCGTCTCACCTAGAAGAGCAGCCAGTCCCCCACAAGTGAAAGGAGACAGGCCCTAAATGCCTCAACTGGTGTCTCTGGGGTGGCAGGACCCCGTAATGCCCAGGGGCAGCCACCAGGGGGCAACACAGCTTTCCCCCCAACAACCCCCCACAGCTGGGTTTTCTTCTAGTGAGGGCCCAATCCTGAAAGCGCCTTCTTGGCCTCCCTCCCGCCTCTTGGGGGAGGGGGTCACCTACAGAGACTGCACCCACAGCCCACGTCATCTCCATGCATGAGCAGCCGTGTTTGGAGGCACCCGGGCTCCCAGCGGGCCCCGCATGCTGCTGCCACTAGAGGGAGGCAGCGGGCTGCTGCCGTTTGGTCTCACCCTCATGCTCCAGGGCTTTCAGGATGGGGTCAGGAAGGACCTGGGATCATGCGCTGGCTGCTCACAAACCCCAGAGACCCCTGGGCTGCAGCAGGATGGCAGGAACCCTCTCTGGAAGCTCTGGGGCTGGAGCCAGGAGCTCCATGAACTGCCTCTCCCCAGCACCGGCTGGTCCCGACGGCGCCCGGCCCCCCCCCAGCGCCGGCTGCCCCGTCCGGCCCCAGCCCCTGCCCTGACACGTCAGGCTGTCAACACCACATTGCTCCATTGCCTAATAAATCCCTGTGCGCCAGCCAGGCTCAGGAAGGGCCTCAGCACAGCCTCCAAAGTCCCTGGGTGTCCATTCACAGGACCCAGAGCAGCCTGGACCCTGAAACCCTCCCCGCCCCACTGCCAGGCTGAAGTCCCCTCCCCACAGCCGGCCAGTGCTAGGTCAATCGGCACATGGATATGTTAAAGCAAAATGGAAAGAGGACTGTGCACTGCCAGAAGGAGAAAAAGTGTTACCATGATGCTCCTGCACCCTTTACAGCCATCACCTGCCCTGTTTACCAGCAAACAGCCCCATAAACCACCCGGCCAGGCCAGGCAGCACAGATCCCATATTAACTTTTCATAAATAGGCTCAGAGTTGCCTTTTAGAGGGGGGCTGAACATAGTTTAGAGCTGGCACTGCAAATCCAGGTGAATCTGGATTAACTGTGTAGATGAGCCGGCAGCGGGGGAGCATGATGGAGGGATTCCTCATCCCTCCCTGCCAGGTGCCCACTGTCCCATGCAGAAGTAGAAGGTGGTGGCCCAGTGCTGTCCCAGTGGGAACCCAGGAGTCCTGGCCCCCTTGCTCAGCCCGCTCGGGGCTGCTGCCCCTGCTCTGCAGGTAATGGGGTGGGGGTGGGGGGGTAGGAGGTGGGAAGGGAAGGGCAATGGGGCCAGGCTGGGCTGAGCTCTGCCGGGATCCCATGGTGGACATGGCTGTGGGGCCCATAGGGGCAGGGACTGGGTACTCACATGTGTGGGTCTTCTTCATGGCAGCCAGACCTGCAAGAAAGAGAGAGATGGAGTGAGAATGTGCCAGGAGACCCCAGAGCCCCCTACTGCTTGCCACATGATTCAAAGCACTTTGCAAAGAAGGTCAAATGCCCCTTGCAGAGATGGGGAAACTGAGGCACCAGGGAGGGGACTTTCCCTGCGTCACCCCAGACCCAGTGCCTAACCCCCTACTCACACGCCATCCTCTCAGGTACTACTCCCTGCCCCCTGCAGAGTCAGAAAAACCCAGGAGTCCTGGCTCCTCACCAGGCGCTGCCCTGCTGGAAGACACTCCTCTCCCCCGCCCACCTCCAGAACTGAGTCCTGGCTCCCAGTTCACCGCCTCTCCTACTGCGGGCGCTGGCACACACGATGGTGCCCACAGAGCAATGCCAGGCCATGCTGCTGCCCGCACAGCTAGGGCCCCATCCCTGGATGCACCCCCATCAGAGCCCACAGGCTGCAATCCAGTTGGGGCATACCACATAACCGTGGTACCTGCTCATGTCCGCAAACCCTATTGCCTCTCAGCCATGCTTGTCACCTTGCCAGAAAAGAGCTCAATCCAGTTCCGGGACAAGCTCCTTCCCGTAAAGGCCTCCTGATGGGTGTTAACTACATTCCCTCCTTTCCAGTCCCTACTAATCAAGGCCATTCCACAGCCTTGCTTGGGGTCTGTAATTACCCAGGTCACCCTCGTTAAATCTCGCCACTGCCTCAGTGCTCTCCCTGGCCTTGCAAACTGCCTCCAGTGCCCTCAGATAGGCCATCCACGCCTGCAGCATGCCTCAGCCAGCTCTTTTACAACTCCTGGCTGCAAAATCCCGACTGGATGACTGACAAACATCTTCTTTTGTCTAACACCTGCCCTGCTCCATTGGGTTTATATGCCTATAGAGAGGTTCTTTTTGGCCTCATTTAAGGAACCCGCCTGCATTTTCTCCATGGCAATGGATATTTCTACTGGAAACCTTGCGAGGGCCAAAAACACCTCTGGTCCATGTGAGAGGAGTCATTACTGTATTTTTCCGATAGTGGTGCTTTGACCTGCCCCCGCATAAAACATCCCATAAAAACCACCTTCTATTTACACTCAGGACTGACCCACAGCCAGCCCCAATGATCTTGACTTCAACACTTGCAGCTTTTTTTGCCCACGCAATAAAACACCGAGCTGGAAGCATTTCCCGTGCAGTTTCTATTTCAGTACAGCTAGTGCCTTTCACCCTCTGGGTCCTTTCCCTCAAGCATTCAATTCTCCTGGGTGGGTTTATGGAGGCAAGAGGGGTACCTGCAGCGACTGCTTTGTATTTTGATGGGGAACAAGACACTCTTCCTCAAACTGAACCCAGAACTGGTGGATTGACTTATATGTAGGGGTCAATTTATACTTGGAACAATACAGCAACTGTCCTTGCTGCTTCCTTCAGATCAATAATGAGTCATTCAGAAATTACTGAGCAAAAATTTCTCAATGGGCAACCCACTGGGCACCGACACTCCACTGAAAACCCCTAGATGCTTCCGAATGACCCACGGGGCCTTGGATCTCCAGAGTAACGGCAGAGACGGGATTTGTGGGGGGTAGAGAAATTCATTTTGCAAATCAAACGAAGAGACCTGCGTGGAGGGTGGTGGGGAGTGATGGAGGCTTGTATCCAAAGGAATAGCAGAGGCTTGGACATCCATCACAGCTCTGCATCCCAGAAAACTGGGCCAGGAGGGAGATTCTCCCAGTCTGGGATGGCAGAGGGAGTGTTTCAAGGACTTTTGCTTGTGGAAAGATCTTTGCTACTTTCACAAAGCTGTAGGGAGAGTGACCCAAACTGATGCCTGGGGAGAGCAAGCACCAATTTGGTGCCCGGTGGGCAGAGGGCACCAGGAGCAGATGGAAAGTGGGTGACAGGCCTCGTAGGTGAAGGACGGGTGGGAAAGTGGCAAGGTGGAAGAGGGAGGGGATCTAGCCTAAAATCCCAGCTGCACCCTGGCAGGGGAAAGCAGGAAGTTAGATTTAAAAAGCAAAGGATTTTATGGGGGAAAATACTGGATTTTGTTAAAACCCATCAGGGCGCTTGCTTTTGAGGGAAAGGGTTGCCACATCGTTCTCTTTAGAGACTAACAAGGGGAGGTGTCAATGGGCACCATCCCAGGGGGCTGGGGTTCAAGTCCTTGCTCTGCCACTGATACCCCTACATGACCCTGGGCACATCCCTTCAGGCCAGATGGCAGGGGAGGGTATGAGGGGTTATGCTCTTCTAGGCCCCCCCACCTGAGCAGGGGGGACCCCAGCAGGCACCCAAGACCCTGCCCCACAGCCCCCTCCCCATGGCGGCCCATCAGTGCCAGGCCTCGCGAGAGGCGTTGAGCCTTGGCAGGATCAATATTGACTCAGCTCCTCGTGGCGGCTGTCAGCGGGTTATGTAATGCCGCCCGTCCGACCTGCCTGGCAGGCCGGGCATGCGGAAGTCAGGCGCACATGGCAGGCAGCCGGGTGCCTCCCCTTGGGAGAAACTGCCCGCCCTGCCCGCTCATCCTGAAAGAAGAGGAGAAACTGGGCTGGCGGGGAGAAAGAGCCCTAGAAAGAGTTGGCAGGAGCCCTGGCCCCACCCCACGCTAACCACTGGACTCCACTTCCCTCCTGCAGCTGGGAACAGAGCCCAGGAGACCTGGCCGCCCTGCTCTCAGCCCTGGACCCCAGCGGCCCCCTCCCAGCAGAGCCAGGCCTGCCAGTGGGTGCAGGGCCATCCTTAGGGGAGAGTGCTCAGGGCCACAGAGCAAAAGCCCACCCTACCTGAGCATCACCAAGCAGCACCAGCTCCCCAGCCCCCGGGACAGCGCCATGGGCCAGGAGGATGCCCCAGCACATGGACGCCACCCCGGGGCTGGGATAGCTGAGGCTGCAGGGCAGGAGTGAGATGCAGGCCCAGATATCCCAGCTCCGGGCCCCCTCCACCCCAACCCGCAGCCCCCTGCCCTGGGCTGTGCCCCCCACCCCACAGCCCTTGGGGAGAGCGAGAAAAAAGAGGCAGCAGGACATTGATGCAGGACCAAATACCAGCTGCCAGCCCCCGCCAGCCTATGAGCACTGGATGCAATGAAGGATTTAATTACCAACCCCCATGTAAAAATCCACCAGATTAGTGGGTGCTGCACCCAGAACCTACCGCCAGGGCACTAATTACCTCTGTGGGAGCTCCCTGACCCCCTAATCTGCTTTGCTATTTCCACCCTTTGCCTTAACACAACACCCCCCCCCGCAGTGCCCTGGGACTGGGGCAGGGGTGGGCCCCGGGAAGCGAGATACAGCGCCAGACGCAGTTCCTTGCCTCTTGGAGCTGCCATGGGCCCAGTCTCCACAAGGAAGGGGGTGGTGGGACCTGATACACAAGCCTTGCACTGGGGGGGGAATGAGTCCCCCAGACCTGTGGGCACCTTGTGCACAGATACCCCAGGGCAAGAGGCACAGAAAATGTGGGTTTCCCAGAGGGGCCGGGGTAGGGCTGTGGGGGCTCCAAGGGGGTCTCGTCCCAGCCATGGGACCATCGGACGCCTGGGTTCTGGGGCTGGCTCCGCCACTGCCCTGGGCTGCCAGGCTCACAGGGCTGCCATCCCCTGCCCCTGTCTGAAGAGCAAGCTGCCAGGGCAAGGGCTGTGCGCCAGCACCAGTGTGGAGCTCTGGCACTGAGGTGCACCCCACCTCAGCCGGGGGGGACCCTGGCACTGAGGGGGCACCCCCATCTCAGCCAAGGGGGCAGGCACTGAGGGAGCACCCCAATCTCAGCCATGGGGGGAGGGACTGAGGGGGCACCCCAATCTCAGCTGGGGGGTACCCCAATCTCAGGGGGTAGGCACAGAGGAGGCAACTCAGTCTCAGCCTAGGGGGGGCCCTGACACTGAGAAGGCAACCCAATCTCACCCTGGGGATCCAGGCATCCAGTGGCACCCCAATCTCAACCTGGAGGGACCACTGGTACTGAGGGGGCACCCCAAACCCAGCCTGGGGGGCCCTGGCACTGAGGGAACACCCCAATCTCAGCCTGGGGGTGCCAACACTGAGGGTGCACCCCAATCCCAGCCTGGGGGGCCAGGCATTGAAGTGCACCCCGATCTCAGCCTGGGGGGGCTGGTATTGCGGGGGCACCCCAATCACAGCTGGGGGTGCCAACACTGAGGGTGCTCTCCAATCTCAACGTGGGGGGGGGGCAGGCACTGGAGGGGCACCCCAATCTCAGCTTGGGGGCGCCTGGCACTGGCCGGGTGCCTGATCTCAGCTGGGGGCTCCCCTCTCACAGACTGGGCTCCCCCTGCACTGGGCCGGCACAGGGTTGACGTGAGGCCGGGGGGCGGCGCAGCCGGGCCCTGCCTTCGCCTCGCCTGAACTCCACGTTACATAACTGGCTCCCGCTTGGCCGCCGGCCCGGGCCCAGCGCCGGAGGCTGGCGGGGGCCGGCGCACACAGTGGCCGGCGCAGGGGAGAGCAGAGTTGCGGGAGGGGGGACCAGGCCACAAGGCCCGTCCCGCCCCCCAGAGCCCTCTGGCCCCCTCCCCCCGGCCAGCGCCACCCTCCGAGACCCCCACAGCCACTGGAATGCAAAAGGGCCAAGGGAAAAACCCTGCGTTAGCAGGAAAACAGTTGCTAGACAGAGAGAGGGATGATAGTCTCCTCCCTGTGGGGCCCAGGTCCCTGCACAGGCCTGGCTGGACTGGGCCATGGCGCTGGGTCGCCCATAACATGCCACGGCCATGGCCCGGGCCCCAAGCAAAGCCGTGCTGTGAGGCAAAACTAGCCCCTAACAGTACAAACAACCAGGGAGGGACCGGGGCAGAAACCCTAGAGAGACTGATATGCTCTCAAAAGACCTAAAAAAAAAGTAAAATCAGCCATGGGTCCCTGGCCTGGCACTGTGATGCGCCCACTTCTGGGGTGAGGCGTGGAGGTGGCCTGTTCCCCAAGACGCTGCTGTCTCTGGGGAGGGAGCCAGGAGTTTGAAGACAAGGACAGGGAGATGCGGACTCTTCTCGGGGAGGAGCTGGGGGCTGTTTGACAGGGACCTCCCACCCCTGCCAGAGATATGGGGACCCACAGGGGCCTCTCACTGAAATGCAGCTGCTTCTTGGGTGGGACAGGGGTGGCTGCATAACAGAGCCAGGGGACAGGTGCCCACCCTGGCAAGGCCTTTGATGATGCTCATGGGGTCCCCACACCCTCTCTGCCCGAGGCCTGCAGGCAGAGAGGGGACAGGGCAGGAGCAGCGAGCTGACGGCCTTGGGACAGGGACTGTCTGTTTGCATTGGCACAGCGCCTGGCACGGCGGAGCTGGCAACCAGCCCTTCAGAGACTTCCCCTGCAGCAGGTGGGTTCGGACCCTCCTCTCTCAGCTGGATAAGAGTACTACTGCTCCTCGTGAATGAGCAAATGTGTTTGAGCGGACGAGGCCCTGGCGTCCTGCTCCACCCCAACAGCAGCTGGGGACTGCCAAGTGCTCATCCGAGTCCCTCACACATGCAGCCGAGATCCCATGAAGGGCATATCCAGGCCAAGACCCATTAGGCCAAGCCTAGCACCTACCCTCAGACAGGCCTGACACAGCAGCCGGGGCACAGACACGTAACGAGGCCTGATCCTGTCCCAAACGGCAGAGCCGAGGCCCAGAGAGAGGAGCTGTGACAGGCTCGGGGCCCCGCAGAGATGAGAGCTGGCCTCTAGCCCCCTAGGTGCAGAAGCCATGGCACTCGTGGTGGTGAGCACCCCAGCCCAGCCCAGCATTACATAAAGCCCGATACATGCATGCAGGTGCCCGGCAGCTGCCCCTATGCCCAGGGAGGAGCCCGCCATGGCAAGGCAGGGTGGCAATTAGGAGCGCTCGACCTGGCTGCAGGTCACGGGGCCACGGCAGGAATGGCAGGCATGGCCGGTGTGGTGACACAGAAAGCCACATTGGTGGCAACGTCCAGCGACACATATTGAGTACAGAGGGCACTTTGCAGAGATTGGGGCATTCACCTGCTATTCCTGTGCTCTCATAAGCCTGAAACCATTCACTGAGCGGGCATCCCAATCCCAGCCTGGAGGGGCAGGCACTAAGAAAGCACCCCGATCTTAGCTTGGGAGGGACCCTGGCACTGAGGGGGCACCCCAATCCCAGCCGGGGGGGGGGCAGGCACTGAGGGCACACTCTGATCCCAGCCTGGGGGAGCCCTGGCACTGAGGGGACACCCCAATCTTAGCTGGGGGGGTGGGCTGGCACTGAGGGGGCACTGTGCAGTGGGGATTGCTGTGAGGTGGAAGGCAGAGATGCAGGTTCAAATCTCCAGGCAGGCGGGTCTGGGATACAACCCTGGCTTGCCTACTTTGTGGGGCACTTCTAGCCCACTGGGGTGTCTCTCCAGGAAAAAAGTGTTCCCCAAACCAGCAGGCTGCTCCAGAAACTGCTCTGTTCTGACAGGTTTTCCAATTAGAAACCTGGGAGAACAAGTTCCTGGAACGCTGGGAGAAATGGGTAGAAGCTGGCCAGGAACAAACATGGGTTGGAAGCCAGATGGAGAGAGCGCTCGGCTGGCCAGATATCATGCTGCTAACAGTCGGGATCTGGGATCCATGGCTCAGGAGGTGCCTTCTGGACTCATGTCCCCTGGAAACTTCTGGCCTAGCTGCAACAAAGGCCCCAGGCCACCAAGCACTGATTCAGGGCCTCCCAGAGCTCACAGTCTGCACATATAAGACAGCAGCCAAAGGATCTTTATCCCCATCCATGGGGCAGAGGGGTGCAGGCTGGGAGGATGAAGTGACAGGCCCTGGGTCATTCAGGGAGTCAGTGGCAAAGCTGGGAATTACCACCCCGCCCTTCC